GGGAATGACACATGAAAGCCACAGGAGAATCAGGAACCTCAGGGTGGTCACTCCCACTTGAAACTTAAGTATCAAAACAACACAACTAAATAAATGCTCTGTGATGTGCATGATGAACTCTAATAAATGGATCAGTAGCAAATATAACGTTATATGAATCTTATATCATTTTATATTTAGTCTCAGCAGAGAAACACCAAACCTGATGGAACAAGGTGAGAAAGACAGTCAAAGCCTTCAAAGACCACTTGGATGTCAGCCCTGCCTTCTACTCTTATTGTCATAGCTAAAGAAAACGTGCATCCACTGCACATCTCTTTAACTCAATATTTATAAACTGTGTCAAGACTTTCCTCTCCAAAAAAATCACCTGGTGTAAACAGGATTAACAGCCATCTATCTAATAACTCTACTGAGAGAAACCAAAGTAGTTCTTACCTCTCCTACAGACAGGAGTATCAACTACCCAAAGTAATCTGGCAATCTACAGCCCAATTCTTACCTACCCAAGCAATGCCACAGCCCTTTTCCCAGCCCAGCAATTATCAGATTATCCAGCAAAGCGTCACAGCTGAGTGGGCTGTGCCCACACCCCTCAATGCACAGGCTCAGCTACACACTCACAGAAATCACAATATTATTTAGAAAGGGAGCTGCCAGGGGAGGGGAAAAGTTACTCAGCTGTAGTTTTTATAATTGTTTGACACAAAATGTTCATTAGACAAAGCCACATGTCTTCCTTCTCACAAGTAAAACCACTGTGTGAGGTACTGACACACCTCCAGCGTGAAGTATCAAGGCTGCTGTCTGTGTATTTACAGAAGTATGCACTGGGAAAAAGAGAGGAAAAGGAGTATGAGTAAGGAGAAGCGATTTTCCAAAGAGTACTCTTGCCCATTAAAATGACCAAGCATAATTAACATTCTTGACCTAGGATAGTTTATGACACATCTACTCTGTTATTTTTAAGCAAACTGAAAGTGCCTTTGATGTCAATAAGCATGTTCTTATGCTCAAGGCACTGTGTACACACAGCCCCCAATCCCTGCAGCACACTTGTGAAGAAAAAATACAAAAGCTTATAATAAATCCCATATCTGTGTTTGGACAGCCCACAAAAATAATTCAGACAAGATAAAGGTGGAGTGCAAGACATCTTGCTGCCAAAAGCTTTCAAACAACCTTCTAGAACCAAAAGACACAGCTCCCATCGTCCTCAAAGTCTCAAATATGCTCATGCCTGGCTCTTCCTTGTGTTTTTATACCGCACTTTGGAAGAACTAAAAAACAGCAGTAATTGACATTTTTTATGATTGTCTGGTCACATAAAGAAGAACTTCCCTTAACTGAGCCATGGGATCTGTGAGACTTTCACAGAACCTTGTTAACAGAAGCACAGAGGTGCTGTGCCCTCCGGTTTCAAGGGATGTCTTTGTAAACACGAGATTATGGACCCACTGAGGGTGTCAGCCATTAAGAGTACACTCTGTTTCATGGTTACTATTACTAAATAGCACTTATAATTTAAAATTAATTGTTGAACTACAAATACATGGAAGGACTGTGGACCTGTACTTATTCCAGAGATGTGGCTACTGCCCAGTGCCACAGGCAAATGGTTTTTGCCTGCACACAGGGAACACCTATTAGTTTCCCTGTACACCTGCACTACATCTTAGCTCACTGGGATTTTCAAAATAAATAAAGATGCAAAATAGAAACTTAAACTGAAAACTTCCAAGTTTTAGACAAAGTATTACATATTTTTTGTTTTTCTGAAATTTGTCTAAAAACAGTGCAAGAACCACATAAGTCTTCCTAAACTTCTTGTAAAAAGAATAGGGCTGTGACTGGTTTTCCCTTGCTGCCTTCTCCCCTGGATTTTTAACAGCTTGGAGACAACATCCAAAATGCTTGAAGAGAAAGTAATTAGGAATTCCTCATTGTCTCGGCTCACTACAAAAGCAGAGAGGGCAAGGGGGGTGAAGGAGGGTTTAGAAACGCTGTATTAAACACTGGAAAAAGTGGAAAAAAGCAAGGAAAGTCAGTCACAGTCTGGAACAGGCACACACTGGCTGCACCTTACTTGTTTTCACACACATGAAGCAAGAGGAGACATCTGGCCCGATCTGCTGCGTGCAGGCAGCACGAGGGCTGGTCCCACGCATTACAAACCCACTACATCATGCAGGAAGGGGAAGAGTTCATGGGTGGGGACCGGACTTTTGCAAGGAGAAAAATACCGCAGCATAAACGTTTGCAGGAGACAATTTCAGACAAGTGAGAGCAGAACTGCAAAATTTCTCAAGGGGGAAAAAAAAAACATCAAGAAAAGCCACAGACAAAATTAGTGAAGGAACTTCAATTTAGAAATCAGAGTCTGAGTTCACCCAAACTCATGGGGGCCTCAACTTAGATTCTGCTTCAGTCCTAAAACGAAGGACTCAAAACAACCCTGATACTGGACCTTTTTTTTAACAAAAGAACATTTTAACTTGGTGAACAATGTTGGTCTATCTTGGTAGCAATGCCTAATGGTCTGAGCCAAAGAAATTCATTCTGTAATTAAAAAGTAAAAGTAAAATAGTACCACTAATACTACAGAATTATCCATGACGGAGATGATGAAACTCCTAGTTACACATATTTTCCAAACTGTAAATCGAAACAACCCCCCTCTTTGCTCCTGGAAACTTCCTTTCCCATCCTATGAAAATTACACTTGTTTAAAATAGTTCCCTTGAAAAAGTCCTCCTGTAACACAAGGGCCTATTTTCTTTTGTTTAAGCAATACAAAAGGAAATCACCACGAGAAAGAAAAGGGAGAGGTCACGGATTACTACAGAATCCCCCAGCCAGCACTGAAAGGAGTTATCAGCTTCTCCGGGCTCTTCTCTGCCAAAGGGCTGAACTCAGCAGAGCTCTTCTCATTTACCAGCGCAGCTCCTACACTTTCTAAGCAAACTCCACAGTTCTCTCCTGGAACGCCTGACCTTTCCGCTTCCAGCTGCAAGCCGAGAGGTCAGCGAGGCAGCGCTCCGGGCTCCCCATTCCCATGCGGAGCACGAAGCCGGGCGGGAGCGAAACCAGCGGGCACGGCTCCCACGCCCTGCTCCCCTCCCCACCAGCCCCCGCAGGAAGTTCAGGCGCGCACAGCAGATGGCAGGGAAGGGCAGGGTGCCGGGTCCCTGTCCCCCCATTTCCAACCCCATTCCCCGTGCCCCCGCTCTCACCGCTCCCGCAGCTCCCACCGCCCGCTCCGCTCCGCGCCTGCCCCGCCCCCGCCGGGCAGCGCCGCCCCATTGGCTGCGGGTCACGTGCCGCGCGCCGCTCCGCCAATCAGCGCCGCCGGGACGCGGTTTGGAAACTTCGGTGACTTTCAAAAGGCGCCGGGGGCGGCCGGGCACGGTCCCGATCCCAATCCCGGTCCCCATCTTGATCCCGGTCCCTTTCCTATTCCCATTCCCATTCCTAGTCCTGGTCCTGATCCTGTTCCCAGCCACATCTTCTGAGGTGTTAACTGTGTAAACCGGTGTAAAACATGCCAGCCATGGCGTAATTCTAAAGGCATGATTTGCCTTGGAACGTTCTAAAGGAGGAAAAGCTTTACATCAATTTTTTTTTATTATTTATTTTTTTTTTTAAATTTTAAAGGCCTCTGCTGGAAAAGCAAGCACTGAGACAGCCCCTGTAACTATTTTTAATACCAGCACAACGTCCTTAGACCGAAGTCCCCTTTTCCCAACCTCAAGGACAAGTTTCTGTGTCGCTGAAGCCCATGGTGTAAGGACAGAGCAGGCTATGAAATATTAGACACTTCCACTCATCTACATCTCAGCATGATGTCACCATTCCAGAAAACGAGCCGCAGGCACCCGCAGGGGGATGGACCTCTCGCAGACACCGGGACAGAGCAGCCCGTCCACTGTCCACTGCAGCCCAAGAATTCCCTGCCGTGCCCTCACACGCAGGATCGATAGCACAGGCACCGAGGCAGGTAGAAGCTTTCTCAAGTGCCCCAGGTGTGTACACAAACATTTGCTCATTAGCCTGCTTGGCATTTCCTGAGTCAAAACCAAAGCACAAATTATCACACGTGTCTCACTCCAGCCCACAGAGGCACGGCCATGTGTCACCCAGTGTCACCTCACACCTGGCAGCAGCTTCCCAAACTGCTGGATGAGAGACACCCATGTGGGAGTCCTAATCCTAGTTTCCTTTACTGCTGTGATGCAATACCAGGCCTGGAGCAGTCTGACTCTGAGAAGACTTGTCTAAACTGGGAATGTGCCTCTTCCAAAAGCTTTGTAGAACAAGCTGGCACAGTAACTAAGTGGATGCACACTATATTCTACTAAAAGAAATCTGTCCATAGCTAAGATAAATTTAACAGAAAAGGATGAGCAAAACTATTATACTTTCAGGTCAGGCATTCAGCAAAATAACTATATTTTCAGGTCAGATGTTCAGCAGAATTAAATGCAGACAAACTATTATACAACTAGGAAGAGAAAACTAAATTGTGTATTTAAAAAATTGGGTTAATAGCACTTGCAGTTCTGTCATTACTCGAGAATGTTTTTATTATTGGATAAGTTGCAGGAAATAAACCACATACTATTGTAGTATGTGCCCAGTAATTAAAAAAAATTATACATTGTTCACAAGTTTGGGACAAAGGACATTTTACTTCAACACTTCAAGCAAATTTTTGAGGACAGTGTGAGTTCACAGGTGACACCAAAGGTACACCTGACTATTTTTAATATTTCTCCTCCTGAAGTACTTGTAAAACACAGCAAAACTTCTGAGATTTCAGAGGCAGCTGAGAGCCCCTCATCCAATTCTGAAACAGTGTAACAGCACCCTAACCAGGGGCACTGCTGTACTCAAGCAATAAATATTGTTTTAAAAAAAGGTTACTGTAACCACTCTGACTGCCTGGTTTGCCAGAAGAATGAGAACACTTGGCTATTTCAAAATTAGCAGAGGAGAAGAAATTATTTTATGCATTTATTTTTAGTTTGCTGATTAATAATTAATAACTGGCAGATCTTTGTGGTGCCAGGATTAATGTGCTGGTTGTTTTGATAAGAAGGCCACACTGATTCTTCCACGAAAGCTAAGTGGACAAAAATGTATAGACTGTAAGTTCTGGTAAAGTTGCAACACCTTATCTTTGGCAATAAGCTTCCTATGGGAAAAAATACTTGCTTTGCTGCAAGTAAATAACTCACCACAGAACCACCCACCCTATTGATGGAACAGGAACTTCTCATCAATTGTCATTGCAAACTACTGAACTTCTATATTTTTTTTTCTAATGGATTACCCATAACAAGATGTGACAAACATGTATTAGAATATCACATGGAAATATTGATGTCACTGAAGAGCAAGTATTTAACATCAGTGAAACCTGTTTCTGTCTCTTTAAAGATGTTATATAATTCTCTGCAGTCTGTACAGATTTGCACATGCTTAAGCAAGAAACAGATTCTCACTAGTTAAAAAAACCTTCTGATGTCTTGAACTGACAATTTTGTTGATGAAGCTGCCAAACGCTCATTGATGGCACTGGCTTGTTAAGCAGAGCAGAGCACAGCAGCACTCCCAGCCTTGGCACACAGCAGTTACACCCCCAGTGCCCCTGCCAGCAGGGACAAGACTGGCTGCAGCTGTGATTGTCACCAAGGTGCTGCCACCCGCAACCTGTCAGGCAGAGGTGAAGGTAAAATGCCAGCTTAGCCTGCTACCGTGATGTCACTTAAAACATACTGAGCCACCAAAAAGCTCTGCCACTCACCTCCCTCCCTGAGGGGCTCAGCTGCCCTCGTGCCAAGGAGCAAGCCCAGCCTGGATGATATGGATTGGCTGCACAACTTCTGAAACAGGGCTGTGGAAACACAAGGGAAGTTTTGGAACCACAACAAGAATGGTGTTGATAAAGCACTGATGTTTGGGTTTTTGCTAAGTCATGTTTATCATAAGTCAAGGACTTCTTGGGTTTTTTGTGTCTCATGCTCTGCCACTGGGGAGGTGCACAAAAAAAAAACCCTTGGAGGAAGCAGGTGACATGAAGTGGCCAAAGGGGTGTTCCCAGCACAGCACATCATAGCCAGGATACAAACTGGGGGGGAGTCACCTGGAAGGGGTGTCTGGCATCGGTCAGCAGCTGGTGAGCAATTGTATTGTGTATCAGTTGTCTGGGGGGTTTTTTGCCTTTCACCTTTTAATATCATTATTATTATAATTTACAATTATTACTGTATTCTGCTTTGGTTTTGGTTTTTAAACTGTTCTTATCTCAACCTACAAGTTTTACTTTTATTCTCTTCCCCATTCCACTAGGGTTGGGTGGAGAGAGGGAGGTGGAGAGTGATGCTTAATTTCCAGCTGGTCTTAAACCACAATACTTATATCATGAAAGTCTTATGGCACATGTGGTGCTCTTGGTCCAGTTCATTTTATTTTCACTTACATACACAAATTTCCTCTAGGGGTGTGTGTTTTGGCATTATAATCATTTGAGGTAATGTGATGTTACATTCCATCCTATCAGCTACCACCGAGTTGTTATTCAACCTTATAGTCTACTAGTTTCTGCCTGAATCTATTTGAACAACTAGTTTCCAAGGAAATAAGGATTTGTGTTTGTTCTGTCCCTGGGGACTCTTGAGTTCCTCCATCGCTCCCCTTCAACCTTCCACAGCCTGTGATTCCAGGATTCCGTGACCCCCCCACAGAATCCCAGACTGTATAAGGTGGGAAGGGACCACAGTGGGTCTCCTGGTCCCCCCTCCCTGCTCCAGCAGGGTCATTCCCGAGCACACGGCACACGATTGTGTCCAGACGGTCCTGGAATACCTCCAGGAGGGAGACTCCCCACCCTCACAGGGCCCTCCGTTCCAGCGCCCCACACGAAGAGCTTCCCCCCTCATGTTCAGGTGGAACCTCCTGAGCACCAGTTCCTGCCCGTTCCCTCTTGCCTGGAGCCCGGTCCGCCCCCTGACACCTCCCTGTGGACATTTCCTCGCACAGATGCCGTGCAGTGCCGCTGCCCGGCGATCCCCGCAGGTCTCCCCGCGTTCTCCCCTCACACCCCGGCGCCCTTCGAAGCCGCCGCCTTAAAGGGGGCGGGCGCGGCGCGTTACGACACCCGCCTTTTGCGGCAGCGCGGGTTTGCGGCGCGCGGCGGCGCCCGACGGCAGAAGGAGCGGAGCGGGAGGAGGAGGAGGAGGGAGGACAACAAAGGGCCGGCGGGGCCGGGCCGGGGCGGCGGGGCCGGTGAGCCGGGGAGAGCCGGGGCAGGGGGCACGGCGGCGCCGAGACGGGCTTCGGCAGCGCGGGGGCTGCTGCGGCGGGGACGGGCCGCTCCCGCACCCCTCGCGGCACGGCCCGTCCCGTCCCCCCTGCGGCGGCCGCGGCCCGAGCTCGGTGTGGGGCCGGGGAGGGTCGGGCCGGGCCGGGAGAGCCCCGGGAGCCGCGTGGTGTGTGGGGCAGAGCGCGGGCACGTGTAGTTAGTGTAACTTTAGTTCCTTTCGCTCACCGTTTTAATTCCCAAAGCAGTCGGCGCTTTGGGAATTGCCGCGCTCTAGAGCTGTAGAACTTGGAGAGCTTGGCATTTTCGACTTCTCTGTGTGCCTACATACGGTTTTTGGATACGTTTGAATACCTATGTGGACGGGTAATTTTGCTTTGGAAAAAAAAAGTGAAACTTCTTTCGAGGTTCAAAACAACGCAGGGGCAGATGTAATGTTATGGAATATATTCAGTGGTGTTACCGTGTTTAAATGTAAGGGAAGCTAAAGAAAAGTAATTAATGAATGCAGCACGTGGTTGGGGGGTAAGGAGACTATGTTGGTTATCACAGGTTTTTGGGTGCTGTATGACTGGCCCTTAGGTTGCTCTGTGGTCCCATAAAACTGAATTCATTTTATTAAAGTGCTGGGGGGCAGCCTGAGGATGAGTAGAAATATTTGTGAATAATTTGAATAATTTGAAGCTCTGTTTAAATGCGAAGTGCTGCTTGCTTAATGCAGGTATGTACAGCTTTGTTAGCCGGTAGAAAGCCAATGAATATGCAGTTTGATCTTCCAGCTGAGTTCAATTGGGCTTGTTTGGTATTTACTGTTGAGCTGTTCTTGCCAACTTGAAAGATTTTATTTACTATAAATAAAGCAGGTTCAGCGATGGAGCAGTTCTTCAGACCACCGTGGTTTTTCTGTCTTACCTTAAAAATTATTCAAAGCATCCATTTTTTTTTTTTCCCTCCAGCAGGTGGGAAGAATGAAAGGAAGGGGAGATGAGAGGATGTTGAACCTTTTTGTTTGGCTGTATGATGGAAGGAAACAGGACAGAGAACGTCTGCAATAGATCGTTGGGATGGCTTCAGAGGCAAGGGAATGATGCTAAACCATGGCTCTGGAAACTTTCTAACTGCTTTTCTGCTGCTGAGAAGGCTTTGCCTTGTGGTGCAAAAACGGTAATTCCTGACTTTCCCTGAAAGCACAGTTGGTCTCCCGGTGCCCGGGGGGGGGGGTGACTGACCAAAGGTGGGTGTGGGGAGGGCAGGGAGAGGGGGCAGCAGTTCCCACAGCAAGTACAAAATCTGCCTGGGGATTTAAGGCCTTCAGTTGTGTTTGTAGCACTCCCATCAGGGTGGGGAGAACAGGCAGGTTGCTTTGCTTGACAGGCTTTACTCTCCACAGCTGTTTGGGGTAATACAACTCGCTGCTAAAAAGGTGTGTAAGGCAGCTTCCTGAAAGCTCTGCAACAGCTGTTGCTGAAGAGTAGAGGAGTAATCTTCGTGCTTCCAGTTCTTTATCCGTTTAGCTTGAAGGCAAATTTAGTTTTCTAAATAATAATTATTATTATATAGTAGTTACAGCAAGTGTGGATATTATTCTTTACTAATTTTTTCTTGGTTCCATTTCTTTAAAAGTTCCTTTTCTGTAGTGTATGTGATTCTATAAATTTACAATGAAAAATGTTAAGGAATAGAAGGAATAGTACAACACAATTAGGTACTGGAGCAAGTGAGCTCCAACTATTAAGTAACATTCCATGCGTGTTCAGTCTGATTTTAAGTAAAGGACATGGGAGAAATGGATGAGCATGTTGCTGTCTTCATATGTCAGGGGTTAGGAAGGCAGCTGCTATAAAATCTGGAGTTTAATATGTAAATCAGTTCCAGACAGATCTTTGGCAGAGTTTATCTCTGTGAGATGTGGCGTCAAGTGGAGAGGAATGGTTTTGAAGCTGGGTGATGATTTATTCATTAATGTTTAGCAGGAGATGCATTAAATTCCATTTGGAAAGTAAGGGTGGTTCAAAGGCTCTGGAGCAGTGTGTTCTGTGCAGGTTATCTCTTCTGACCTTGACTGTTCTGTGCTGCTTCTAACCTTGCTTAGTTCTCACTGCTGACATTAAAAAAAAAAAAAGAACCCACACATATTTTTGTCTATGCTTTTATGTCTGTGCATCTTGATATCTTAAGAGTAGGCAAAAAAAAGTTGTTGTGAAACTTGAGTCTTCTTTGCCCTCTGTTGCATTGCCTGCTTGGTACAACTTCTAATTCTTTGAAGTATTAATCTTTTAATGCATTGCTCCTATAACTTTAATGTTATTTTAAAGTCCTTATTCAAATACAACTTACGTAACTGCAAGCTGTGAAGCTTTTTTACATCAAATCCATATGTGTTTCTGCTTACAAGGAATCTCTCAGCCTTAGCTAACAGTTTTCTGCCTTTTAGATTCTGTTTTATAGACACGGTGCTATTTGGTTTATAGCTTTTTGGGTTTGTTGCTTCCAAAATCCAGTGGTACCAGTATACCTAAGGCTGGCACACGTAACTGGCATGTTTCTTTTAATATTTTACTTGTTCAATCAGTAAGGTAATAGTAGTCATAAAGATACATCTTAAAAAGTTTAATTTATCATCAAAATTGTAACAGTCTAAAAATATACTGCTTATCCTGTGAAACTGGCTTTCTTTGTGTATCTGAATGTAACCGAGCTTTCATCTTTTGTTTTTCCAGAAAGATTACATGGAGAACAAGAAAGCTGCTGTGGAATTGAAGGATGCTTCATCTCCTCACAATGCCGGCTCTAAACTCTTTCCAGCTGTGCCGCTTCCTGATGTTCATCCTCTGCAGCAACAGCAATTGCAGCTCTCCCCTGGCCCCAAAGTAAGCTGCTGTGCTCATGGCTCTGACTCTTCCTGTCCTCCACAGATGCACTGTGGTGGTGGTGGTGGTAACTTGATTCACCCTGGCACAGTATTAGACTCAAAAAGCACTGGGACGATAACTTGTCAAGTGGGGTCAGGATTCGCTTACCAGTCTGCATCTTCACTGAAGAACCCTCCGGCCAGAAGCAACCTGGCGGGAATTCCCAGTGAGTTCTCTGGCATGTGCGTAGAGAACAGTGTGTCCTCCTGTCAGCACCTGGCCTGCTGTGGGAAACTCCATTTCCAGCCCTGTCACGGTAACGTGCACAAACTGCATCAGTTCCCAGCCCTGCAGAGCTGCACCTCTCCCGGCTATTTCCCCTGCCCCGAGTTCACGAGTGGGGCTCCGGCCCACCTGGACGAGCACCTTGCGCAGTCGGAGCTCACTTCCCGCGTGTGCGCCAACCCTCTGCACCTAAACGTGGCCCCTCCCGTGTGTCTGAAGGGCTCTCACTACTGCAGTGACTGCTTGAGCAAGGTTTGTACACCTCAGCTTCTCCCTTGACTGTGGAATGTGGGTAATGCTGACACTGGGTTACTTGGGCGGAACATCAGCTTCCGTGGGTGCAGCCTGCACCCCCCTGGTGATGCACAGTGCAGAGGCACCAGGTACCCCGTTTGAAGCTGATCTCTCTGCTGAGGTAAAGCTCAGTG